TGACTGAATATATAAAAGCCTTTTGGCAGAAAATCTAAATAAGTGTGGCATGAACCCCTCAAAATCAAGAGTGCTAAGATTGAAGAATACGTGGTTGACTTGAGCATTGATTCCGTGCACTGATTTCTTGCCCTGTCACAAAAAAAGTGCGATCTCGGAATAGGGCATGCAAACCTTTCCATTGCATTGGTGCTACTGGAAATGCATTATACATAGGGCTTCGTGTCTTTTCGGAGTTTATTTTTCTTGAAAATCGGAAGGTGTTTTACAGAATATATATTTTTTTAAACAAATGTGGCATTTATTTTCAATAATAATCCCCAATTTTGCACAATTCGGTTTTTTCATAAAAAGTTATATCATTGTGGTCTTATTAATGGTTATTTCCAATAAAATTGCATTGCATTATTTCTCATAATCCTGCTTCTCCATTCTTTCATTTTTTTCTAGCTCCCTGTTCATTGATCCTATTGACAAGGCTTTTCATGTTCACTGCTGTATAATCGCCAAAGTGTAATTTAGGGGGGGGGGGGGGGGGGGGGAAGCACAGGAGCTAGTCAAGCTACTCCTCAGCATTTTCTCCCAGCCTCTTTCACCTTCTTGATTAAAAATATTACCTACAATAATTATTATTATTATCAATACTGTAAAGTCTTAGATGAAATTATATCTGGCCTTGAAAATATGCAAACCCATATGAAATGTAGGGTTTAACGTCCCAAAACCACCATATGATTATGAGAGATGCTGTAGTGAAGGACTCCGGAAATTTCAACCATCTGTGGTTCTTTAACGTGCGCCCAAATCTGAGCACAGGGGCCTACAACATTTCCGCCTCCATCAGAAATGCAGCTGCCGCAGCCAGGATTCGATCCCGCGACCTGCGGGTCAGCAGCCGAGTACCTTAGCTACTACACCGCTGCGGCGGGGCAATATGCGAACCCAGTCAGTGCATTTTAGATGTCATGAATATGGGTACACACAAATACAAATACTTCAATACAAAACGTGTTCGTATTACGACCTTAAAGCTTGTGTAATAGATACAAGCATACTCAAAGAACTTACTGCCAGTAATAGAGGTGTGCTTCGTTCGATTGATGATTCTCAGCTTTGGAAATGCCTTTTGAACATTCAAAATGCCCTTTAATATTTCAGTTTATCGAATAAATTCATACTGGCAAAAATATTCCCGGTGCGTGTTTACAGGAATTTTTATGATTTATCCGAAAACACGGGGCTCTAGTCATCCGTTAATTTCTTTGGTGCTCACTTGATATCTGTAAAATAGTCCCAAAACATCCGGTCAGTTTATATTTCTAACTTTAGAAAATTCAAACTTGAAGTGGCGGGAGAGTTTATTTTATTCATATAAAAGATAGTGTATGCACTAAAGAAACATAATCCTTACGGACCAGAAGCTTTTTAATGATGCCATCTTCATGCTTTTTTTGTGACTTGTCTTAAGAGAACTTAATAAAGGCCTTGTGTTGACAACAAAGTTGATTACAGCATGACTGTGCTTAAGAACAGAGTTACTGGGGTAATGGCATTAAAGCATAAATTGTCATTATTGTGATCACCCATTGCATGATGACGAAGTCTAAGCAGTAAATTTCGTTGAGTCACAGTGCATACCAAATTCTGAAAAATGACAACCAGTTCATCGAATATTAGAGTTCCGATGTCAATAAGAGCAGAGCACCTCGGATGCAGACTGCTTTCAATTGTTTGGTCCACTTCTTATTACAGTCTTAAGTTGCGTAGAGTAGTACATGGTCTAAAAAATAGTTGACTCGTGTAACAATCTGAAACCTTTTCTTTTTGTGTAATGCAAGTGCCTAATTCAATTCTGGGATCTTCGTCATGTTTTGACATCACATACTCGAAACTTCAGTAGCTGCAACATCGCCAAATATTTATATATTCGTTCAAATCGAGGGGAAGGAAAAGAAAGTAGCCATGTAGTCAGGGCATTTTTTTTCTGCCACCTTTGGCCTAAGCAAGTAGCCATAGTGGCACAAAGTAACCCAGTTGGGAAACCCTGAAAAATTTCTGTATATTTTTTATTTGATTAATAGATAAAATGGTAAATGAATTACATCTCTTGATGGTCAAATAAATAAATTTCTTAATGTTTGGCTGTCCAGTCTAGACCTATCAGAAACAACTTGAACCAATTATTCAGTGCTTGTATCACTTCGTGGAAACCATTTTGACATCTTTTTAGGCAGCTGTATGGGAAGGTTCTCATGGAGTAATTGCAAACTCTGAAATGACGTGTGGGCAGAGATACCCATACTGATCATGTGAATGTCCCTTGTATGACTAGTCTGTGACTAGTCAGATGGTTGGGGAACTGTTAATGTCAGTTTACATACATTAGCTAGAATTACTCATCATCAGCATCATCATCATTATCAGCAGCCTGACTATGCCCACTGCAGGGCAAAGGCCTCTCCCATAATCTTCCAATCACTTCGGCCTTGGGCTTTCTGCTGCCACGTTATACCTCCAACTTCTAATCTCGACCCACCTAACTTTCTGTCTACCCCTTCATGCGTTTGTCTTCTCTGGGAATCCAGTTAGTTACCCTTAATGACCAGCGGTTCCTGCCTACAAGCAGCATGCCTGGCCCATGTCCATTTCTTCGTCTTAATTTCAACTATGATATACTTAACCCTGGTTTGTTCCCTAATCCACTCTTTTCTCTTATCTCTTAAGGGTACGCCTATCATTTTCCTTTCCGTCGCTCGTTGCGTCATCCTCAATTTAAGCTGAACCTTTTTTTTTTAAGCCTCATGTTTCTATCCGTAGGTAAGTACTGGCAAGATGCAGCTTTTAGGTATCTTCCTCCTGAGGGTTAGTAACAGATTACCATTCCTGATTTGAGAATTCTTGCCGAGTGTGATCCACCCGATCCTTATTCTTCTAGTTATTCCACTCTCATGGTTTGGCTCCGCGGTTACTGCCTGCCCTAAGTAGACATATTCCTTTGCAACATCCAGCATCTCTCCTCCTATCGCAAAGTGCTGTTTTCTGCTAAGACTGTTGCACATTACTTTAGTTTTGTGCATATTAATTTTCAGACATACTCTTCCGCCTTCCGTGTCCAGTTCAGTAATCATGAGCTGTAATTCATCCCCTGAGTTACTCATCAAGGCAATGTCATCAGCGAATCATAGGTTACTAAGATACTCTCCATCAACTCTCATCCCTAACTCTTCCCAGTATAGGGCCCTGAAAACCTTCTGTAAAGACGCGGTGAATTGCATGGGAGAGATCGTGTCTCCTTGCCTTACACCCTTCTTTATTGGGATTCTGTCGCTTTCCTTATGGAGAACTCCGGTGACTGTGGATCTGCTGATGATTTCTTCCAGGATGTTTATGTAGGGTTCGTCAATGCTCCGATTCCGTAGTGCCTGCATTACTGCTGATGTCTCGACTGAGTCAAACGCCTTCTCGTAATCTATGATTCTATGTATAGGGGTTGGTTGTATTCCATGTATTTCTGTATTACCTGATTGATAGTATGAATATGGTCTATTGTGGAGTAACCTGCACGAAATCCTGCTTGGTCCTTCGGTTGATCGAACTCTAATGTCCCCATTATTCTATTAGCTATTATTTTTGGAAATAGTTTGTAGAGAACAGACAATAAAGGGATCGGTCTGTAATTTTTCAAGTCCTTGACGTCTCCTTTCTTATAAATTAAGATGATGTTGTTGATGTTCTTCCAAGATTCTGGTACCCTTCCTGTCAACAGACACTTGGTATAAAGGTGGCCAGTTTTTCCAACACAATTTCTCTGCCATCTTTCATCAAGTCCATTGTTATCTTATCCTCACCAGCGGCTTTGCATTTTTGCATTATCTTCAAGGCTTTTCTGCTGATAGTTCTTACATTATGGTCGTAGTTGTCCCAGCTACTGTACAGATCTCTGCAAAACTCCTCCGCTGCTTTAACTGTTCTATCTATATTCATTATTTGTAGTTACTTTGCCTTCCTTTTCCTTTATTGAATACATCTGGTTTTTGTCTATCCCAAGTTTTCTCTTCACTACTTTGAGGCTTCCTCCATTCCTTAAAGCATGTTGAATCATCTCCATGTTATACCTTCTTAAATCACATACCTTACGCTTGTTAATCAACTTCAAAAGCTCTGCCAGTTCTATATTGTCTGTTGTATTTGAGGCTTTCATGTCCTGACGTTTCTTAATGCGGTTCTTCGTCTCCTGAGACAGCTTGCTAGTGCCCCACCTAACTACTGTACCTCTAACTTCCACTGCACACTCCGTAATGATACTTGTCAGATTATCATTCATTGAGTCAGCGCTAAGCGCGTATATATGTGCATTTAAACGTGGGAGCGTCAGTCAGTGCCAGCTTTTTCCATGGCGGTGAGTGTGGAACGCTCGTCTTTCCTGTCTGGCGTCACATTTTACAGCATCTTATTACGAGGTCGCAGCTGACCAGTAATCCCTCGCATACTACCTCAAGGAATCAAGTCTGCCAGAACAAGACCCTCGCTGTGAATGAAGGAAAGTGTAAATTTAATGGCTCATTTTCTTTGTTAGACACAACATCAATGAGAACATACGCGCAATAATGCCTGGAAAAGTATCATAACTTCTGACAGAGGCATAAATTGCTCTGTAGGTTGTTGTTATAGCCACAGAAACTAGGCTTCATCTCCCGAGTTTATGATGTGCAGTGCAAGTTATCAATATTTCGATTGCCCGTAGAAAATTTACTGATATAGGCACTGCGATTAACACGACACCTTGTCCACCAAGGTTTCTGTCGCCAAATATAGTTTGTCACGATATTTGCAGTTTTCAGGACATCCAGCCTTGTGCGTGTACATTTGTAAATGAAAGTGAGAGATGAGCTTGACATTACCGGTATATGAATTCGAAGTGTGAATGCTTTTCATGCACATCTACTGTTCAGAATTTCGGGAAAATGATGAAGCTGCTTTAATGGCTGGTTGTGTTGCAGATAAGGTGTCCCGGATGTGAGCATCTGCCAGTCCAGATGGCAACCGGTGGTCGACGCAGGGTGGCCACTAAGCTCTACAGTGCGGCAGAGGACCTGGATCAGATCGCCAGGGAGGTAAGTGGCTGCTATGCCTAAAGCATTTAGTTTTGTTGCTCTTATTACAATGGCTGTCGGATAGAAGGCAAATTAATCCCCTCTTGCATCTTGTCATGGTCGTGAAGCATGGCAGATTTCGGTGTGCCTGGAAACCTTGGAAATGCTCCAATAAGGCAAAGCACCCCGAATAATTTTTCCTGCCAATCGTGGCTCCTTCAATGCTACTTCAAGAAATGCTTCAAAGTTCATCTTTTATGGCTCAAGTGTGCTTGATTCCGTTATGGCTCAAATGTACTTGATTCCGTTAGAATAAGAGGACTGACTAACACTTACTGTGCGAGCACCATCTATGGGAACTTTTGCTGGGTAGGATGCAGCAGAAAGTAAAAGCAAGGCTGCTGAGAAATTAATAATGATAATATTTAAATGGGTTGCACATAGAGTATTGTTGAACCAAAATAATGTATCTAGAAAAAAAAAGTCTCTTTTCAAGTAAGCAGGTGGGGCGTGGATTTAACGGTGCTGCATGTATGCTTGTGCATGCATTTGTATGTGTGCATATTTATATACACAAGCAATATTCGAAAGTTTTGGTAGGGGGAGGGGGAGTGGAACACTCCGTCTTTTTCCTCCTGGCAGCACCAGCGGTACAAGCACAACATAGGCAAGACGAAAGTTCACGCATACATGAAGGCTTGAAATGATGTGCAGTTGAGCATCGAATCTCACTGGAGCCACCATTTTCAAAGTAACACTTGTCTTTGTGAAGGCAGCAACTGATTTCCTCATAGGGAGTGACATTTTCATGTGCATATAGCCACTCTCCCACTGCTCCTGCGCTGAAGAAGAAAGGAATACGCCAGTGTTGCCTAGAGAAAGACAATGAGTGTAATTTGTAAGAAGTCGGTTTAACTATAATTGGCAAAGTTAGTGTATACTCTATAATGTTAAAATGAGACTCCTAAAATCAAGGTGTAATTTCGCTTAGTCCTGTAGGAAATTATATTAAAGACGTCCTTGCAAGTGAGAAGATGGTGTTATTATCGTGCTTCTTTGGATTATCATATCTAAAGGCGGACCAGCGCTATCGTGCCAGTTGATCGAAAATTCTCAGCCTGCAAGTGTGACTCAGAATTCCTTGCACTTGATTTCTGTTTCAGTACACTTCTCTCATCTTAATTTGTTGTCCCTGTTTCACATGCATGGTAGTAGACATCAATTATTATTATTATTATTATTATTGTTATTATTATTATTATTATTATTATTATTATTATTATTATTATTATTATTATTATTATTATTATTATTATTATTATTATTATTATTATTATTATTATTATTATGTGGTTATTGCCTCTCTGTTTCTGGTTGTTATGGAATGAAGCGAACTGCGAATAAACCAGGACTGCACGAAAAAATAGCAGAAATGGACAGTTTTACAACTCGTAGGAATCGAGCTTTTCCCCCAAGGAGCGCTTGTGCAGATGTTCTTGAGCGAAGGTATCGCACGCCTGGATACGGATGAAGCACGGCCTCCGAGCTTGTGGGCCAGCCTTCCGACGCGCAATCTTGGGGGGGACTTGGATGGGAGAAAGTTAATTACGCGCGCTCGTCATAGGTGGCGGCACAGTCCCGTGCGCCCCAAGGCTCGAGCGTATACCGCGCTATGGTGTGGCAGCTTGGGCTAGTTGGTATGGCATGACGATAGTTATAGCGCGAAAACAAAAACGGCGACACAGAGACAAGCGCTCGTGTCCTTCGTGTCGCTGTGTCGTCGTTTTGTTTTCGCGCTATATGGTGTAATAAGTGCGCGAACACCGGTTGCGAGGACTGTAGTGTGCGAGCGGTCCGGTCGGTTTCAGCGGTGTGTGTGCCGAACTGTCGAGAACGTGCCGCTACGTGGATGCTGTAGGTAAAAACAAAGTGCACGAATAAACGAATTTGGAAACAATCAAATATGCCGTACGTACTCTTTCTTTTCGGCATTTACAACGTAAAAAAATAAACCTGTGCACTTAGAGGGGGCATTGGGTAATGGGCGGGCGTAAACGAGGGGTGAAAACTTCCGAGGTCGTACGCATGCCCGAGAATCAGGTTGACAAGGTACGTGCGCTCGGGTGCGTTCAGGTGCTGTATTTTTTGTTGCGAAATGGTGTGACGTACACAATTTTGATACGTGCCCACTGCTCCCTGATTGAGCAATGAGAACTTGTCGGCGTGTTTTGGCTGAAGCCCTTTAGCCCTTTAGTTTTGACACGCTTCACCGCGAACGCGCTTTCGACCGTCCACGTTAAGCTGCCGAGTGGAGTGCACTTGCACTGACTGACGTGCACCGTGAGCGAGTTCGGACAGAAGTTTCATATGTTACACGCTTCGTCCTGTCCTCAATTTCAAATAAAAATTATTATTTGAATTATTTACCGTCCCAGATAATGGTCATCGCGAAATTGTCAGTGCATTTATAGCTCACAAGATGTTCAAATTAATGTTTTATCGCCTGGTATTACAAATGGATCCAGGCTTATGGGGTATTTCAAAACTATTGTTCCGTTTGTTTGGCTAAACAGTGTTAGTTTACCATCGAAAAAAAAAAAAGGAAGGCTGAAATTGCCGCTTTTGTATTGCGTGGTCGAGCAGCAGCGCGCAGACGTGACGGTGACGTTACGTATGCTCAAAATCGCGGTGCACTTTCGCTACGGAAAAACGTGCACATTTTCAAGAATGCAGTCTCTCATTTGACTTCTTTTTTCTTTCTTTCTGAATCAGAACTTGCCAGATTCACTCCGGGCGGTTCCCTTTCGGCATAGCTTATCTATGTTGAACAGTTCACTGGTTCTGAGCGAACGCTGTCGGAATTTACGACGTCATGGGACGAGTTTAAGTGCGCAAACTTCACTGTGGAGTCGCCACCGTTGCTTGGTTTACGCGTATGCCCTGATTTCCAGGCCACCGCTGCTATTGTTCTCTCGGTGCAACCGTTGCGGCCAGTTTAGAATACACAACTCCGTTCTCTAGAGCAGGGATGACTGCGGTGTGAACGATAGGGCCTCATCGCGGCCGCTAAGTGTGAGGGGAAAAAAAAAAACGAAAAAAAAAAACGCGATATTGAATATGTGGCAAACCGAAAAGCGGACGAAGATTCAGAACTCGGGGAAACTCGGACGAAGCTCGTCCCTTTGCATCGCGATCATCAACAAACGTTAAGTTATGGGATGAGAAGTTTTCGTTTAAGACTGGGTCGTGTACGACGGATCAGTCTAACCTTGTTATGCAAACTTCTCCTAATGCCTTTCTTTTCCCTTTTTCCTTATCCCGGTGAGGAGTAGCAATGCTAGGAGCCCGCGTTCTAGGACGACCACTGCTCATTCTCATTAAACGTCCTCTTTTTCTTTCATTTTTATTGATGTGCAATCAGATTTTGGGTTGGCCCGGGAACGGTGACAGCAATCAGAAGTGCATGTGTATAACTCCGCCAAGTTCTGTAGAGTCGCGGGCAGATTTTGCAATGCCTTGTAACACGCGCTCGCGCCGGGGCATGAGCGCGCGATTCGAAAACAGGGCTATTCATTACCGAAGCCTTTCTTGCTGCTTCATAAAAACGGCTTTGTTTTGTCGGGCCTGTTTGCTTTTATCGTGTTCAAGAGGAAGTGCAGTCGGACTCTAACACTTCGCTTAGGTGCGATCATTATGCAATTCAAGCCAATTTTGTGTGTATATCCCACGCGGAGGTGAAGTACCGAGCTTGAGTGTGCAAGCGAGAAGTTGTCGTCGACCAAAAGCTTTCCTTATTAGAACTTTAAGTTGCAGCGTTGGCGGACGTCCTTATAGGTAGAAAAGCTGGGCTATAGTTGCCGATTGCAGCCGTGAGACCTACGTAACCAGCAAAAAACGAGACCCGTAGTGTGTTTCTTGATCTCGTCCGACGTCTATCTTGCGCATTCTATAGGTATACATGGCTGATCTTTATCCACCTTACAATTCTCTGAAAGTTTGATTCACCATCATAGCACGTGGGGGGGGGGGGGGGGAGAGAGGCGCAAGGGCAGCCCTACACATTGACATTATAGGGAGGGGGATGCTGCGACGAACCCCCCCCCCTCTTCCTGAAGGGCCCGCTTATGTTTGTCATACATACTGTAACGAGTTACCTTCGAGATAGGTAATAGTGCACTTGAAGTTGTAAAAGACTATGTCTACTTAGGGCAGGTAATAACCGCAGAGCCTAACCACGAGATTGAAGTAACTAGAAGAATAAGAATGGGGTGGAGCACATTCGGCAAGCACTCTCAAATTATGACAGGTAGATTGCCACTATCCCTCAAGAGGAAGGTATATAACAGCTGTATCTTGCCGGTACTTAGCTACGGAGCAGAAACCTGGAGACTTACAAAGAGGGTTCAGCTTAAATTGAGGACGACGCAGCGAGCAATGGAAAGAAAAATGGTAGGTGTAACCTTAAGAGACAAGAAGAGAGCAGAGTGGATTAGGGGACAAACGGGGGTTAAGGATATCATAGTTGAAATCAAGAAGAGGAAACGGACATGGGCCGGGCATGTAGCGCGTAGACAGGATAACCGCTGGTCATTAAGGGGGGTAACTAACTGGATTCCCAGAGAAGGGAAGCGGGTTAGGGGGAGACAGAAGGTTAGGTGGGCAGATGAGATTAAGAATTTTGCGGGTATAAATTGGCAGCAGCAAGCACAGGACCGGGTTAACTGGCGGAACATGGGAGAGGCCTTTGTCCTGCAGTGGACGTAGTCAGGCTGATGATGATGACTGTAACGACTGTGCGTGCTATAAGTGACACCACGTGGGGCCTATATGCACAGGGTCGTCAGCATAGAAGGTGAACACTACACTAGCGTTTAAGACCTCATTGATGATTATGCTTAAACTCGTCGACAACTTATCTTGTCATGGGAGAGAAGGCTACGGAGGTGGGGTTTCCGCACATTTGTGTTGCTCACGCAATTGGCACGTCAGCTTGCGGCTGATTACCAACAACAACAACGAAA